TAGTGAAATGCCTATCGTATTTGATAGGCCTATTTACTTCTACCATATATTATTTTCTGGCACTTAGGTTGCCCCAGTGGAACATATGGAACCCACTGCTCCCAAATATGCTCATGCGCAGAAGGAATACCGTGTCACAGTTTCAACGGAGTATGTATGTGCCCAAAGGGACTCATTGGTAAAAGATGTGACGTGGGTACGAAAAAATGTTAGGATTATGTTTATTATAAGTTAAAATTATGTTTTTATGCATAGTTTGTGGGTGCGTCTAGATAATGGACCGCTATGCCAGGCCCCTTAGATATGTTGCTAAGGCGTAGGTTTTAAACTGCGTAAATGTGCGTAAAGTTGCGCTTTTGTGGTACAAGTGCATGTTTCTGGCAAAAACACGTTCTGATTAGTCAGTTATTTAAGTTTGATTGACTCCAGAAAATTCATTATACGGCATCTTGAAATATTAGGATTAATCCCCAACAGGTATCTCTATCTGCTTTATAATTGACATTTTTCGTAGACACTACCCTATTAGCTACATTATCATTAGCTATAAATATCATTAACTGTCATTATCATTAGTCATCATTATGTTTGTTGCTAAGCCTATTATATTAATAATTATTATATTATAGAAATTATATTTTCGTTCTGGTTTTTTATTTTTTTTATTGTAATTTTAACATTTAGGCATATCATTAATTCAGCAAAGAGGAATTGTTTCAATCACTTAATCTATATTAGTTAACATTTATAATTATCATCACCATTGCATATTGTTAGGCCTATTATTAGGCATAATTATCATTATATCATAATTATTTATTATTGCTTTTTATTTTTCATATAATTTATTTAACAACCTAGGCATACAGTATATGTAAATCAGCAAAGATGAATTGTTGCAATCAGTTAAATACCTCAATATTAATTTCAACAGTGGATCCTTACATAGAAGTTGATAGCGGAGACATATACGTTGAATGGGGCTCAGATACAACTCTGGAATGTATAGCAGATGGTATCGCAAATCCAGGACCGTTAATGTCATGGGAACGAGATGGTAGGCGTCTTCCGACTAATATTTCCCGTATTCATGCAGATTACTCACCGATGTAAGTCCATATGTCTACATATTTTTTATTTCCTTGTTACTGGAGTTAGCATGTTTAATTTCTCCAAAACAACTAACGACCCGATAGACATATTCAATAAGTTGAATTTTAATAAACCAATAAATAATAATGTACTGATAAATTTATTGTAAGTCAAACGTAATTTTAACCCTATTTATATATACAAGCCTATTAAATGAACCTTGGAGTGTCGTTATAAGCAGTGCGTAGCCCCATTAGATACGCGCTCTCGGAAAGAACATAGGCCTAAAGCATAACTACGTCAGTTTGAGAAAGATAGTTGTTTATGTTCATATTAAGGAGAGGCATGCACATATATACCTCAATGGCCACATCTGAGACTACAAAGAAACTTTCCAAAATGTCAATCAAATGTAACAACTGACCAATCACAACAGGGCTGGGGATACGCGCTTGTCCCTAAAAACACACAGTTTGTTCGGTTGGACCTTAGTTAAAATATCAAGGGTGGGGCTTAATGGAATGGTTCATACAGTCTACACGCGACCTTGAAACTTATGTACCTACACTGTATAAAAACCGAAAGGTCCACTGATTAATATCAGATAAGATAGTGTAATACATACACAAAGTATCGAAATGCACGCCATTGTGTCGGGATTCCGACACGATGGCGCGAATTTCGATACTTGGAGTATGTGAATAAGTATTCCAAGTGAAATTGTTTGATTATGTTCAGTAACCGCAAAATATTCCCAATTTAAAAAAAAAATTATACTAAGGCTAATATAATCTTGTAATGAAATTATTGTATAAATTCACACTTTTTTTGTTCAAATTTATATTTTTCTAGTAATTTGATCTAGGCAATATATTGTAAATTCAAATCATTTTTAACATTGTTATGTTGCCTTCTGAGTGTTTTTATACCAATAAATGAAAATGAAATGAAATGAAAATACTATCAGAAGTGGCTGATTATCTAAAGAGACAATCGGCTCTATGTTTATCGGTTTCGTTTTCATGAGTAGGCCTGTTTCTAATTTTTGTTTTTAGATGACAATCACAGTTTGAATGGTTTGAAAACTGACAAAATTGAATCAAATATGGGGAAAATGCATATAAGGAGAGTTCAGAAACAACTGTCAGAATGTAAAACTATAATTGTAATTTCTGTCTTAACCCATGTGATCCTAGGAACATATACAATTATTTTCATTTTTAGGCCTTTGCGTATTGTTTACTTCATCAACAACATGACAGATGCACAGAATGGTGAATATAACTTGGCCTTATAGTATTATTAGTAGGCCTACTACTATAGGGGCCAGGCATATTAAGAAAAAAAAAATTAATGTGACAAAGTCGCCATGGCATGACAATTCTAGGCTAGAAACCTACTAACTTTACCGTCAGCTGGATAAGGCTGCGTGGGAACTCACCTGCTGCGGGACTAGAGCAGTGTCCTGGTCAGGAGTGCGCTACTGCTGCTGGGTAGACACTGACTGTGCTAATCCTAGGCATAGGCCTAATTATAAACAAACAAGTCATCGGACTGATATACGTTTATTAATTCAATTGAATTATTCCTCCATGATCATAAACCGTCTCTCTGTAACTGCGTACGTAAACGATCACAAAAACTCACGACTTCACACTACCGTTATGTATTGTAGTAGCTCGATCGTCGGGACGATTTTCCGATCAGCTGCTCGCCAAAATTGACAGACTGGTCTTGAATATTAATGAGTTGTTTAGAAAATGCTACCAAGCTACTCAAAAAAGTGATCAGCCTCGTTTTCACCTGATTTTCCCGTCTCATCACATCATGTTTTATTTCTCTAATTATCGTACATCTCAACGTTTTGAATTTTTTAAGTATTTTTCCCGAACTCAGGAAAGGTTAAATAAGCAATATATGGCCACTTGTCTCATCCCCGCACTTCCCCTTTAATAGCCTAGGCTTAGGCATAATATGTCTAAAAACTGCACTGTCTAAATAAAGGTGATGTGCTATAACACTACAGTATATCATCAGAGCCAACACCAATTCCTGTAACAATAAGATTATTATTGATATACTGTAGGCCTAGAAGCGAATTCGATCCAACTCGGCCACAAGTCAGGCTACACAACAATAACGCCTCAATAACATGATGCATATGTTACTCCAAACCTAACTTTCAGCTGTTGTTGAAATGTGGAATTCAAATAAAATATACAGTATCTCATGAAGTATGGTGCGTTATTGATAAAGCAGCAAATGCCAATGTTTGATAACATTTTTGATTTTTTAACAAACCTGGTTTTGCATTGTAATTACTGTATACTTATTTCTCAATAGGAGCAAATGACTGGCTCCAATGGATGTGATGCAAACAGTTCCATCTGTGTGGACATGATGAAATGGACATGTCCAATCCATGGTTAGCAGAAGGTGGCGATGCTCAGAGCTCTGCAGCAAGTGATTGAGGCCAAAATATTTCAAAAGAATTAAATTAAAATGATTTATCTAGTGATTTTTTTTCTGAAGATATACTGAAATGCCACACACTTAAGTTTTTGTTTTTTGCGCCTCTGGTTTATATTGCAGCATCTGGTTTATATTGCATGCCAAATTTATAATAAATAAATACTGTACCAGTGTTACTGTACCTGTTTCACTTGCAAAATATCTTTAATATTATTAAATGGTATTATAATCCCATTCAATAGTAATCCTTTTGAAGCAAATATATGCGCCAGTAGGCTAGATTCGACTTAAATGAAATTACACACACGGTAGTCTACAGTTATAACGTTTATTCAGCAAGAACCAAACACATGTAAATATCGACCAACAATGGCTGACTCCGGTGCCCCGGGAGAGGGCGCACTATTGTTTACCATTGAATAACAACCCTGGCGTGATCTCTTTCTTTCCCTTTTTTGTATTTCTCTTAATTTGTTTTAAACATTTCTCTTAATTTGTTTTAAACAACCACAAGCGGAAACATCATGATGAAAGGGAAACAACTATGGAAAGAGAGAGCCGCAAACTGGCCAAACAAAATCGGGTGCACTCACCCACCATCAATAGTTTTTTTTTTTTTTTTTTTAACAACATAAACTTTAATTTAACGGGAAAATCCTATTAACACTGAAAA